AACCTAGCTTTCCAGGACTGACCTAACGCCTGTGTCTGCAGACCACAATAAAATATGGAGGCCTCAGGACCCCCAAGGCAGCAGTCCTTGAGGCCATAAATTCCCATCTGGAGAGGGCATTGTTTTCACTTTGCTTTATATTCATAAACCTGCTCTTGCTTGTCTCCTAGGCCAGCTTTTTACTCGTCTTTCTTTGATGAAGACCAAGAATTTTCTAGTCCCTAGATCTGGATCCCGTGACAAGAATAATAGTTCTCAAGCTATCAGCTCATGACTTTTTGTCCCCTGGTCCTGGGGCTTTAACTCTTTGGGGGGAGGGAGTGTCCCTGAGCTTTTATTGTTATAATGGTGATGAACAAACTGGGTGCTGGTGGCTCATGCCTATAATCCTAGCTACTTGGGAGGCTGAGATCTGAGGATCCAGTTCAAAGCCAGCTAGGCAGGGAAGTCTGTGGGACTCTCTTCAATTAACCACCAAAAAACCAGAAGTGGCGCTGTGGCTCTTGAGCAAAAAGAGCTCAGGGACAGGGACAGCACTCAGGCCCCAAGTTCAAGCCCCATGACTGACCAAAACAAAGCAAAACCAAAAGATATACAGAGTGAAAGGATCTGTCATCCATCCCAGGGAACCATGAGGAGACAGGCAGGCACAGGAAAAAGATTATTACAGGGTTTATTGGAGGAGCCATATTTTCCCCGGAGAGAGAGCACATGGTGGCCTCTGCTATCTAGGTAGCAGCAGGGTCTGGGGATTAGGAAGTGAGGTAGATGGGAGCTCAGGTGGGTCTGGGCAGAGAGAGGGAGAGGCCAGCTGTATGGTGGGAACTCCAGGGCAGGGAGGAGCTCAGGTCTGGGCATATAATGTTTACATTCTCCGCTCTGTGGTTTAATAAAAATTGGGGGTACCAGGCTGAGGGGTATGGGTGAAGATCATTTCTTCTGGAGCTACTTCCTGCTGTAAAGGGGCAAAGTAGTCAGGGGTCCCTGTTTTGTTGCTCGGCGGGGTAACGTCCAAGAAGCATCTGCTTGACAGTGGTTGGTAAAGGTCCTCCTTTTTCCATGGCAATAGTTATGTAAAATGTAAGACACAATTAATAAAAGGCAAAATTGATGTTAAGGCAAAAATTAGTTAGCAGCCCAAGAGAGGAATATGCCATAGAGGGATTGATTCCCAGAAGGGGCTATCAAAGACCTGAAATTGCCTTTTCTGTCTTGAATTGGAGACATAGCATGGTACCTGACTCCCAGCATCCTGGAGGAGGGGGAGGAAGACTTGTCCTGCTTTAGGTTCACAGTAACCTGAGGAGGAGGTAGCAGAGATATTTAAAGGTACCAGAGCCAACAGGTGTCATGGGCTCTTTGGCTCCTTCCTGTTGGCCTGGGGCATCAAGGAATCCCTGGAGTTTTAGGGTCCAGGTCTGCTCTGGGTAAGGCAGGGCAGTGTAAGTGATGTCTCTAGTTGCCTGTAGCAACAGGATGGCCTTGACTTGTTCCCAGGTAGTATCCTGGGCCTGTTGAAAAAGACTTTTGGAAAGATCAGGCAAAAAGCTGACACAGTGATAAGGTCAGTTAACATGAATGACATGGGAGAACACACATTGGCCAAGGGCCAGAAAAATTCCATTTGGAGTATAAGCCCAGTAGCAGCCCATTACAGGGAAGGAGGAATAACTGGACTTGAGGCAAGGAGGGCAGGAAGGGGTGTCTAGTCTTTGAGTAACTGGGTAGGGGAGAGCATAATGGACTGGTTGGAAGTATCAGTCAGAGGCTACTATAAATACAAATAGCAGGTAACAAAGGCAAGACTGTTCAATGTAAGGTCTGCTCCTGGATGGCGAACAGACTCCACCCTCCTCGCAGCAAAGTCTCCACCCAGTACCTGCGTTACCTAGGCAACTGGCACACCTGGAAGATCACATCTGCATCCACTGAGGTCACATCTGAATTTGATGTGGCCACAACTTTCTCCACCCATACCCTAGATAAGGCCTAGCCCAGGCCCAGACGCTCTCTCTGCTCTTTTCTAGCTCTTTCTCAGCTCTTTCCTTCTCTTCTCTTTCCCAGCTTCCTTCTCTTTCCTAGCTCTTTCCCACCTTTCCCAGATGCTCTCTTTTCTAGCTCTTTTCTCTCTTTTCTAGCTCTTTTCTCTCTTTTCTAGCTCTTTTCTCCCTCTTTCCCAGCTCTCTCTCTTTCCCAGCTCTCCCAGCTCTCTTTCCCAGGCCTTTCCCCTCCACATGGAGGGCCAACATGGCCTGGTGCCAGCCTGAACGATGAATAAACCTACCCCTTACCTGAATACCACCTGCGTGGTGCTGTTCTTACTCGGCTACCTCTTTAAACACCTAATATTCACTTTCTGTCCAATTAGAAGGCAGACAGATATGGACATTAGGTGGACAAATAACTATTTCTCTTGATCTCCTGGCTCTGATTGATTTTGTAAGGGTGAGTGTAAGGTGACTCCATTTAGGATCTCATCTCCTCTTACTCCTCTCCAAGGTTGTCCAATGTCAGGACTGACTTTGTTCTGGTGGTGTCTCAGCATCCATTGCTGGGATAGCTTGTCCCAGTTGGCATTGTCAGGGTTTGGACTCAAGGCCTGGGCACTGTCCCTGAGCACTTCTGCTCAAGGCTAGTGCTCTACCATTTGGAGTCACAATGCCACTTTTAGCCTCCAGCTGGATACTTAGAGGTAAGTCTTATGCCTTGCCTCCAGCTTGGCTCTGCTGATTAGTGGGAGATGGAGTTTTAGAGGGATTCTTTTGTGCCCGGGGTTGGCTTTGAACTGTAGCAAAAAGAGTCCAGTTACAAAAGCCCTTTCTAATTAAAGCAACAAGATCAATGATAGATGTTACCAATAACTTGCTAACAATTGATTAAGAATTACTTGCCAGTTTTTTTGTTTTTGTTTTTGTTTTTTTTTGTTTGTTTGGTCGGCCGTGGGGCTTGAACTCTGGGCCTGGGCGCTGTCCCTCAGCTCTTCAGCTCAAGGTGAGCGCTCTACCACTTGAGCTACAGCGCCACTTCCGGTTTTCTGGTGGTTTATTGGAGATAGGAGTCTCACGGTCTCTCCTGCCCGGGCTGGCTTTGAACCACGATCCTCAGATCTCAGCCTCCTGAGTAGCTAGGATTACAGGCGTGAGCCACCAGCGCCCGGCTTAGTTTCTTTGTTTTTTAATAAAACCCAATAGAGGTTTTTAAACTGGGACTGATTGGCACTCTAAGTACCACCCATTGCCTCTGGGCAGCCTGTTTAACACTCCGGTTTATAAAAGCATTTTTCTGGCTAGCTGAGGAATCTGATTTAGGCAGATCTCAATAGGGACGTAATCGCAGGTCTCTGGTAATCCTAATTTATCATTTTTACCTTGAAATAACCCTTTAGGACAATTTTATCTTTTAAACTTTTTTTTGGGGGGGGGGTCCAGTCGTGGGGCCTGAACTCTGCGCCTGGGTGCTGTCCCTCAGCTCTTCAGCTCAAGGCTAGCGCTCTACCACTTGAGCCACAGCGCCACTTCCGACTTTTTTCTTTTTGCTTATGTGGTGCTGAGGAATCGAACCCAGGGCCTCATTCATGCAAGGCAAGCGCTCTACCACTGAGCCACCTTCAGGTCAGCCTCTCCCCCACAACTTCCCAAATTTTTACAAAGGGGATGCCATTTTTAATCCTTTTTTCTAAAGTTAATTTGCATTTAAATGCTTCACTGAAACACTGTGCTACAACGTTTAACTCTAGGCCTCTAAGCCGAAGATTTAAACTAGCCACATTCTTCCTGCAGTCTGAGTCTTTAGGAAATTAGCAGTTTTTCTTAATGTTCTTTGCTCCTACACCCCTTATGGTCTAAATTGTGGGGATTAACATTACAGAAACAAATATCTGAAGTGGCTAGTGTTTGACCCCATCATGTGTGATGGAGCAAGGCCGGGGGAGGCTGTGGCTTCTGTCCCACCTCCCGCTGGTTACCTGCAAAAATTTCTACATATATTGGTTAAAGACTGGTTTACAGGGCTGAAGGTGCCTCAGTGGTAGAGCGCTTGCCTTGCACGCATGAGGCCCTGGGTTCGATTCCTCAGCACTAGCCTTGAGCTGAAGAGCTGAGGGACAGCGCCCAGGACCAGAGTTCAGGCCCCACGACCGGACCAAAAAAAAAAAAAAAGACTGGTTTACACTGGCTTTTGCAGGCTGGTGCCACTGATTTCACTCTGGTCCCTTGATCTTAAAGGGAGTTAATTGGCGTACAGGGGAGAAAATGGAGAATTAAAACCTTAGCCTTAGTTTACTAGCCATGGTCAGAAGTACAATATTTAACTCAGCATAGATGGACATAGGAATGATATAAATCACAGCCAACCTAATTACCAATTTCATTTACTTTGCAAAGGAAAATCTTTTCTAACTCCTTTCCCTAGGCCTTTTAAAATTGCCTGTTTTTCCTTTTGCTTATAGTCAGGTCACAAAGTTTTAAAGGAATTTATATTAAATCACAGCTTCCACTGACAAAGATTTTTAGTAAGCCGAGTACTTGGTAACCTTGATACCATAATCATTTACATACAGACAAGTAGATAGACAAGTTTGTGCACAGATTATAGAGTGTACTCGAGTTATACCTCCATTTCCAACTTTTTGGTGGTTAATTGGAGATGAGATTCTCACTAACGCTGGGCGCTGGTGGCTCACGCCTGTAATCCTAGCTACTCAGGAGGCTGAGATCTGAGGATCACGGTTCAAAGCCAGCCCGGACAGGAGAGACCGTGAGACTCCTATCTCCAATAAACCACCAGAAAACCGGAAGTGGCGCTGTAGCTCAAGTGGTAGAGCGCTTGCCTTGAGCTGAAGAGCTGAGGGACAGCGCCCAGGCCCAGAGTTCAAGCCCCACGGCAGACCAAAAAAAAAAAAAAAAGATTCTCACTAACTTTTCTGTTCAGGCTGGCTTTGAATGAGATCTTCAGATCTCAGCCTCCTGAGTAGCTAGGATTACAGACATATGCCCAAAGTGTACAGCTCCAAGTTTCATTTATTTAGAAAAATATAGGCATGAATATACATTGATTACAATATCTCATCATTTGTTTGAGTTGAATTTCAACCAGTTTAACTTTGGAAGCCACTTCCTTTTCCTCATATTTGCCAGCATATGGTATCAAGTGTGTCACAGTTCCTACAAATTCAACCAATTCCCTGTGGTTTGTTCAGCTGAAGAATTTCAAATACCTTGCAGGTTAAGAAGACTGGAACAAAGTTCTGTTTTACTTCTGGGCCACAGCTACGAAACAATTCTCATGTTGTCTGCAGAGTCCTGGTGATTGTAGAAATGATCTCAGGAAGGTTTTTCTCCACACTGATTTGGATGAAATTCTCTGGAGCTGATGGAGGCTCCAGAATATCAAATTGAGACTGCAATAACTCAGGGGGCATAAAATGCCCTTTTCTCTGATGTAACCGTGCAGAGATGACCTCCAATGACCCACTCAGATGGATCACCAAGAGCTGCATCTCAGTTGGCCCTTCTCCCTTTTCCAATTCTGCATATTTCAGAGAAGTACTCTTCTTCCCTCGTATTAAGATGTCTCTGTACATTTTCTTCAGTGCTGAACAAGCCAGAACCACACGCTGTCCTGATGCCACATCTCTGGTTAAACAGAAAAAGGAGAGATGAGGTTTAAAGAATGAAGACATTAGCTGGGCACTGGTGGCTCACCTCTGTAATCCTAGCTACTCAGAAGGTTGAGATCTGAGGATTGGAGTTCAGCACCATCCTGGTCAAGAATGTCCATGAGATGCTTTATCTCCAATTAACCAGTAAAAAGCCAAAAGTAGAGGTACAGCTCAATTGGTAGAGCACCAGCCTTGAGCTAAGTGAGAGCACAAAGCCCTGAGTTCAACCCCAGTACCAGAACAAAAAATAAATAAGTAAATGAAGTAATTGGTAACAACTGCAGGTGGAGGACTCTAATATCACCTCTTTGTCAATGGGTGTTAAATAAAATGGAGTTTAAGCATCGGGCATTCCTGGCACTGAGTTAAGGATCCTTCACTGGTTTACCTTGGCACCAGTTTATCATCTGTTAAATAGGTCTTATTCAAGATGCCTGTTCATACATATTGCTATCCTGGGGAAAAAGTTGTCAGGCCAGTATGCAGAAGTGCCAGCTATGACCAGCAGATTCCAGGGTGATAAATGAAGAATATAGGGGCTGGGAAGGTGGCTCAGTACTAGAGCACTTGCCTTGCATGCATGAGGCCCTGGGTTTGATTCCTCAGCACCCCATAAGCAAAAAGGAAAAAGCTGGAAGTGATGCTGTGGCTCAAGTGGTAGAGCGCTAGCTTGAGCTGAAGAGCTGAGGGACAGCGCCCAGGCCCAGAGTTCAGGCCCCACGACCAGACCAAAAATAAATAAATATGCCCCTACAGTGTTAACTCATAATCATTTCAATAACACTGGGGGGGGGGGAGGGTAAGGAATGGGTTAACCAACAGAGATATGGTTAATCCAAAGACGGCCAGCGGCTTGCTTAAGAGAGTTACAGGAAAATGAACAAAAGGGCATATTCCAAGTGGTAAATAGTTAAGAAATCAGGAAATACTGATGTAAGCAGTTTCAACAACACATCCAGGATACCAGGAATCACTGAGGTAAGCACATACACGGACTCCTGTCTTGTGACAGGATTACTGCAGAAGGTCAGACACTCATAATTCTGTCTTTACCTACAGGATAAAAAACCACAGAACAAGGACTTCCACTGATATCATCCATGCTCCAAGCATACTACTCAAATCTGCAGTCAGCCACAATCTCCTCTGGGCCCTAGGGTTCCCACACAGAAGTGCTTCCTAAGTGTCGACTTTGCTCCTATGGATGAAGGGTATGGCTTGGCCTGAGTCTGTGGATGCACAGCTGCCCAAGTGCACCTGTTCCAGGCAAACAGCTGAGTTGAGGGCCTCAGAAAGGTGTTCAGTGATGTATACTCTACAATTGGCTCCTCTCCATCCCCAGTCTGCAGCACAGTGGGCAAGAGGTGGAGGAAGTGAAGTGACCATAGTGCCCGTGGGAAAAGGGAGCAGGGTATGAGGATTGTTGCACTGAGGAGAAAACTTGAGCCAGAACAGAGGCAGTGTGGCCCCCACCTGTAACATGGGGAACCCATGTTGCCAGAACCCACCCAAGGGTGTTACAGCATCCACTTCACTGCAGTGAGTGGCTGGCTGACCGTCATCAGGAAGACAAGCTATACCAGAGGTAGCACTGGTTAACTTTGCTCAAGGCCTTTGCATGTTAGGCAAGCACTCTACCATTGCCCTATAATCCAAGCACACAGCTAACATTTCTGGAGAACTTACTTGCATATTACCATTGTTTTAAGTGTAACCTATGCACCATTTAATCTCTTACAGTAATCTGTGGGCAGGAGTTTTGTGTGTGTGTGTGGTGTGTGTGTGTGTGTGTGTGTGTGTTATGCTGGTACTGGGGCTTGAACTCATGGCCCTGAGCTTTTTCACTCAACGCTTGGTACTCTACTATTTTAGCCACAGCTTTACTTTCAGCTTTTTGGTAGTTAACTGGAGGTAAGAGTCTCATGGACTTTCCTATTCAGTCTGGCTTCAAACCTCAATTCTGAGACCTCAGCCTCTTGAGTAGCTAGGATTACAGGCATGAGCCACTGATGCCCAACTTCAGGAAGTACATTTATTCCTATTTCACAGATGAAGAAACAGGTTTGTGCAAACCAGTGCAAATTGAGGCCCCTAGTTATAATTATGAAGAATTCCTGTGTCCAGAGTCTGAATTAGCATTAGTGAGGTGATAGATATACTTTTTATGTTACAGATGATACTGAGATTTAAAGTTAGTGCCTCACACTTTCACTTGGCCTTCTCTGCTCAAGGCTAGTGCTGTACTATTTAAGACACACCCCCATTTCCAGCTTTTTGCTGAGTCATTGGAGCTGAGTCTCAAGGACTTTCCTGCTTGAGCTGGCTTTGAGCTGCGATCCTCAAATCTCAGCCTCCTGAGTAGATAGGATTACAGGAATGAGCCATGGTGCCTGTTGATAGAAGTTTATTCTATTTCTCATCAGCCAGTTGTAATTTCAAGAGTATGTTTTCTTCTGGCTTTTCTGACAGTTTTTACTCACCAGTTTATGTCAAGGCCTTATGGTCTCTTACCTTAGTAAAATGTCATGCAAGGTGCAGAGCCATGGAATCCTGTCCTGAAATTAGAACAGACTTAAAGTGACTTTCACCAGTATTGTTTGCTAGTGCAGAAAATTATGCTAAGGGCTGGGAAGGTGGCTCAGTGGTAGAGTGCTTGCCTTGCATGCCTGAGGCCCTGGGTTCGATTCCTCAGCACCACATAAGCAAAAAGAAAAAAGCCGGAAGTGGTGCTGTGGCTCAAGTGGTAGAGCGCTAGCCTTGAGCTGAAGAGCTGAGGGACAGCGCCCAGGCCCAGAGTTCAGGCCCCATGACCGGACCCCCCCCCCAAAAAAAAAAAGAAAATTATGCTAAGATTCTAAAGTCTAGGGAGATCCTGGTAGTTCTGACAAACAGGCCACGCACAGGCCACATCAGAAATTATTTCTTGGATTGGTTGTCAGTGGCTCTTTTCATAATAACACAAATTGTATTGAAATTTCCAATTTATTCTCCCCTCCATGTAAATATCCTCTGATCTTGGTATGTTTATACATCTCTTATTTATTGCATATATTATTGTATGTGCATGGTGTGTCAGTTTAGGGCTTGAGCACTGTTCCTTAGCTTTTTTATTCAAGAGTGTCACTTTACCACTTGAGCCACAAATCCATTTCTGGCTTTTTTACTAGGTAACTGGAGTTAAGATTCTCACAAACTTTCCTGCCTAGATTGGCTTTGAAATGAGATCCTCAAATCTCAGCTTCCTGAATAGCTAAGATGGCAGGCACGAACCACTGGTGCTGGCTTCTATATCCTTTAGATATGTCTGAACTTAAATGCAGAGGTTATTCACCATAATCCCACATCAGTCACCTGTGCTGTGGTCTTCCTCTTCAAAGCCTCCAATTCAAAACTCTTCTCAGATAAATGCACTGTGAAATTGGTGGGTTTTGCCAAAGGAAAAAAAGACGGGAGTTCTATACAGCTTACCGTACAGTGCCTCACAAAATATCTTTCTGAGATATATTCTCCTTCTTGATTGGCCATAATGCATTTAAAAAATATACTGTATCTGTAGTGAGCATTGTGCTGCATTTGGCCTACTATTCTTGTCCATTTGTAACAACTGCAATCATTAGGATGACAGGAGATGGTGTAGGAACCTGAGCCTCTCCTCCCACCTGCTCCCCCTTTTTTCCACATTCTCTGTGGCTAAGGACATGGGATGTGGAGGGAGCCAGGTGGACACAGGGCAAGGACAGAATCTCCCCCACCCCTTCACTTGAGTTCAGCTTCCTGGCCTTCAGAGCCTCTGATGCAAGCTCTCGGTTGCAGGTCAACATTTTTATCACCTTTGTTATTACTTCAAAGGAAGAAACAGGGATAATGCATGCTCTTACTCTAGATGAGAACCCTCTGTACTCTGGCTCCCAGGGCAAATGCAGGGCCAGTATGCCATGCTTTCATTTAGGAGAACAGACAGCGTTTCAGTCACCAGGTCACTGCCATCTGAGCCCTTTCCCCAACAGTATATTTTCTTGTGAAATTTCATGATTTTTGTCTAAGTTCAAATGTATTGGTAGGTTGCTCCCAGCCCAGTTTTCATTCCTAATTTTAATTTTGCTTTTCCTTTTATTGGGTGGTCTAGTAATATACTTTTTACACAGCTTTTCTCATAATTTAGTTTGTTCGCTAATATTTAAGTTCTATGCACTTCTGAGACAAAAATCTTGCCACACAGCCCAAGTGGGCCTCAAACCTGTGATCCCCTTACCATAGCCTCTTGAATACTGGAATTGCAGGTGCCACCACACTAAGCTTCTACTCTTACTCTTGAATAAGATTTTAGTTGGCACCAGGCTCACTCCTATAACTCAGTACTTGGAAGCATGAGATTTGATAATCACAGTTTGGGGCTAGCCCAGGCATACAAATCCTTGAGACTTATTTCCAGTTAGACAACAAAAAAGTTGTAAGTGGAGGCATTGCTCAAGTAGTAGAATGCCAGCAAGGAGCAAAAGAGTGGAGAGCAGGAGACCCTGAGTTCAAGCCCAGCATTGGCAAACACACAGAGAAAAGGATTTTAGTTGGGGGAAGAATTCTTGATTGACCGTTATTTTTCTGTAATAAATTATTTCATTATATTGTAGGCCTGTGTTGAGAAGTCTTTGTTGGTATATTGGACAATCCGGGTACAAATAGCAAACATATTTTTTTCTTTGGTAGCTTTAGGTAGGAAAAAAAAACCACTCTTTTATGCTTTGCAGTTTTACTTTTAGCTTGCCCAGGACTCATACACCTAGTCTTAGTTCTCATCCCTGGAAAATTGTTACTGTATATTTGATTCTTGCCTTTCCACCATTCACACAATTCTCCTTCAACTCCTGTTGGCAGTATGGAAAACTTATCAGCTTATCACTGATGTGCCTGACTTTTTCCTTGAAGATATATAGTTTAGCTTTCTTCTGATTTGGGACATATCTTCCAATCTGACTTCTAACTCCCTAGGTCTCTCTTGAATTGTGTCTAGTTTGTATAATCCACCCATTGCTTGTACTTCATTTCTAAAATTCACTCTTTGCAAATTTTCTGGTTCTTACCACCCACCATATTCTATTATATCCATGTTTTGGAGAGCAACATTATTCTTTTGTGTTTTTAGTGATTTTTCTCTCAGTGGTTCATTTCCCATATATGTAGATTTCTTTTTATTTTTATTGGCTGATACAGGGATCTCACTGCTAATCTCTAGACATGTGTACACTGCATTCCAATTAGTTTCCTCCCCTCTATCATTAATTATTATTAATAATAATTATAATTATTATTAATAATCATTATTAATTTTATTCTTACTTTGAACCCCAGGGCACACATGGTCAGTGTGGGCATAAGCACCATACTATCTATCATACTCCCTGTCCCTTTTCTCCATCCCAAACACATCCCTACCAGGTTTCCTTGTTTCATTTTCATAGTTGCAAGTTATCTATTTCAACAGGATTCACCCTCCTTTATCCTCCTCCCAGGCACAGCCTCCTCCCACTAGTCCTCACATACCCAGAGTCTTTCTCTTCCCCCAACCCTCCACCCATCGACCATTTTTGCTGAGTTTTTCTGTGCTGCTCTCACATATACCTGTCATATGATACAGTTACTAACTTTCTCCATTTTCCCTCTCTGACTGAATAGTCTCCTTTTGAGTCATGTTCTATGTTTAACACATGAGGTTGGAAGCATGAGCAGGGTTCACTGAGGAACAAGGGAAGGGAGCACAATCCAGGCAGTGGAGGGACAGTGGTACAAAGGTCTAGAAGAGAAGAGCAAGACCTAAGAAGGACTCAGGGGCTGAGGTGGCTCCCATGGAGATAGAGAGGGGTACGTCATACCTAGAAGAGGCTGGAAGTGATGGGTGTGGAGGTCAGAAGGCCCATTTAGGCCCATTAGTGTTTGGTTTGACTTTCAGATCAGTGGGAAATCTCTAGCTTAGACAGGGGTGACACAGCCACATTTGAGATCATGAGGCCTTGGGTAGACTGACAGGACCTGGGAGGAGGTAATCAACTCCCCATTCATGAGGCACAGGGGAGTCCCTGCCACTCAGGAAGTATACTAAGGATTAAAATTCTGCAGCTAGACGTGGTAGGCTCTGTCCCACTGCGAAAGAGGGTGGCATTGCTCCTGTGGCGGAGTTCACAGGGATGTGCAAAGCTCATTACCTGGTCATTCAGTGGTATCCCTTTTCCCATCTTCCTTCGGTTTTCCTCTGGGTGGTAGTCATCGGCATCATAGAACTTCCATCCTAGCTTTAAGAACAAAGAGAAGGTGATGCCATCTAGGGGTATGGGTCTGTTCCTCTGCCAGGTTAAGAATTAAGAGGCAGAGGAATGGTAAAGTGTAGTAGAGCATAAGCTTACTGAAAGCAAAAGGAGAGTACAGATCTCTCCCTAGAGAACAGTCTCGGAACTGGGGTCCAATGAATTCCCCCAGGGAAGTGGCCTTTATGCCTTATTAATTTTCTTCTTACTTTGAACCCCAGGGCACAAATGGTCAGTGTGGGCCTAAGCACCAACTTGGGTTCTTCATTGATCTCTGCCATTGGGCAAGAGCACAGAAGTAAGTATGATTGGTCCTGCTGATGGTATACTAGGCATTATTAGCTCATTACTGATTTGAAGCAGGAACCCATGTCGTTATGGGGAGAAGTACCATTTGAGCAGGAGCCTGAGGCACTATGGGAACATGAAGCGCCACGATGGGCCACCTGTTGTCTGCCACGTGCTATGTCCATAATTTTCTCTATCAATCTAACAATTCCTCTTTCCTTCCCTTTAAGGGTGTGTGTGGCAGGCAATATGGTCTATGTGACAGCTCCTAGGGAACTACCGCAGGGCAGCTACAAATAATACCACCGCCCTCTTCCCCATTATCAGCCCCAAGGACCATCCCCCAGACAGGGGACAGGAGAGCCTTGTAATGCTGCTTCCAGATCTCTCCATTCATTACTGTTTATAACTGCCAAGGAGAAACTCAGATTGCTTCAATGGTTTCAAAGCTGTTCAATGGCACCTAGAGCAACCAGTAGGCCAGAAGGTAGGGAGGGAAGCAACCAGGCAAGAACAAAACAGGACTCTAGGAAGCATTAGCATAGGATACCTCAGAGGCCAGCAGGGCACCCACGGTGGACCTGGTGGAGGACAGAGAAGCTGCAATTACTGCTCCTGGGAACAGATGACTGCCAGAGCCCGTGTTAAAGTGCAGCTCCTATGGCATCTGAAAGTGGTAACCTCATCTACCCTGTTGTCTAGGGTCTGGCCTTCAATGAAAACATAATTAACATGCTACCGCTATTTTTTTCCAAAAGATAATATATCAAATCTCATTAAAACTTTTTTTCCTATGAATAAAGTGTTCAGGTTCTATGTTTAATTTTTTGAGAAAATATTTAATTAATAAAAGGATAGGAGTCAGGTACTGGTGGCTCATGACAGTAATCCTAGCTACTCAGGAGGCTGAGATCTGAGGATGGGGGTTCAAAGCCAGTGCAGGCGGGAAAGTCCGTGAGACTCCTATCTCCAACAAAACACTCAGAAAACCAGAAGTGGCGCTGTGGTTCACGTGGTAGAGCGCTAGCCTTGAGCTGAAGAGCTGAGGGACAGTGCTCAAGCCCAGAGTTCAAGCCCCATGACTGACCAAAAAAATAAATAAATAAATAAATAAATAAAAGGATAGGATTGTGTTAGGTATAGTGGAGAAATGTGTGTGTGTAAACTGGGACTTGAACTCAAGGGCTTGAGCTTGTCCTTAGATATTTTTTGTTCAAGGCTGGAACTCTACCACTTGAACCACATCTCCACTTCTGACTTTTTCTAGTTAATCGGAGATTAGAGTTGCTGTCTGGGTTGGCTCTGAACCACAAATTTTAGACCTCAGCCTCCTGAGTAGCTAGGATTACATCTGTGAACCACCACAGCCTTGCTTTTTGCTGTCAACTTCTCCCCTACAGAATTACATTGTATCCTCATTTATTGTGCCAATGTTTTATATCTACCACCCTCTACAATTATTTAGTTGGTATTTTAATTAACTACTTCACATTAAAATGAATTTTAAAGGAATACTTATAATTTAGGTAAATGGGTTAAAGAAACTCCTTTTCCTTCTCTTGTATAGGAAGCTACTATTACATACTTTAAACAGAAGATAATAAAGATATACAATTAAAACAAAATGTTATCAAGGTGCATTGCATACATAAACTGCCTTATTAAAAGGCAGAAAAGTATGCATAAACTACTTTGGTGAATGGCAACTTCTTTGTACTACTACTTAAAGATAATAAAAAATATTTTTTAAAAAAGAAATCCCCCCCAAACAACCAAAACAAAATGTTATTAAATTGTAGCTGGAAACTAAACTGCCTAAAAAGAGTCTTATTTCTTTTTTGTTACAAGACTATGAAAAGTGAATTACATGCCTGTAAAGCCCAGCTACTTGGGAAGTGAATATTGGAAGGATGGAGTTTCAAGGCCAGATAAGGCAAAGAGCTATTGAAATCCCATGTGCATAAGCTATGATTGATGGTCCATGCCTGTGTTCCCAGCTACTCAAGAGGGATCGGTGGGAAGACTGTGGTCCAAAGCCGGTCCAGGCAAAAACAAAAAAAAAACAGACTCTACTTGAAAACCTTTTAAAGGCCTTTTTGCTTTAGCTCTGGTGGTAGAGTACCTGCCTACCAAGTATGAAATCCTGAGTTCAAACTCCAGTACTGAAAAAAAAAAAAAATAGCATCAGAGAGGCATCAAACCAAATCTGCCACCAGAGACCAGCTCTTCGAAGTAACCAGAGGATTGAAAGAACAATGGATCTTCCCACAGTGAGGCTGGGGTTCACCCCCACCGAATAAGGTGACAGACAGGGCTACCACCGAGTGGAGATCGGCCCACCCAGCTGTGCTCCCAGCCGGAGAGGCCAGGGCGGGGCGTAACCACAGAAATCACAGGTCGGCCACGGCTCACCACCTGAAAGCGGGGACCGCACGGGGCAGGGCGGAGGGAGGGAAACTGCAACCCCAGGCCCGGCTCGGGCCAGGCCACACCCGAGACGAGCGGGGACGCGGTCCCGGCTGGGCTCCCGAGGAAGTAGGTCTCGGCGGGGCGCGTCCTGGGGCCTCTTCCGGGCCCGGCCCTCCCCGTCTTCCCGAGATGGGCAGAGCCGGGGAAGGTTCCGGTGTTTCCACCCGGCCACCCCGGCCAGCCTCGGGTCTCCCCCAGTTTAAGCTGATCAAAGAGAGGGGGCGATAACTCACGCCAGGGGGCCGCCCGGCGGCAGGGGGGGCTGCTCCCCGGCCGGGGCCTGGGCGCCCTCCCCTCCGATCCTGCCGGACGCCCGGCTCCGCAGCTTCCCCTTCCCCAGGGCTTTCAGACCGTGCACGGCCCGAGGGGCCGGGGGCCCCCAGGCGACCCCGCCGGCGGCAGGCGTGAGGGGAGGAGCCGGCGCCACGGGCCTCTGCGGAGGGGCGGGGAGGGGCCCACAGGCACCGCGGCGGCCGCCTGCGCCCGGGCTCCTCCCGCACCCCGGCTTCCCGGACCTACTTTCCTGAGCCGCTCACTCCCATCACCAGCAACGCGCAGGCTGCTGCCATGGCCGGATCCAGCTCCACCCCCATCGCCTTCCGGGTCTGCGGGACTAGAGGGCGGAGCCGTCCCCGTGCGGCCCGGGGGCGGAGGAGAGCGCGGCCCCGCCCGGCCCGGGGGCGGAGGAGAGCGCGGCCCCGCGCGGCCCGGGGGCGGAGGAGAGCGCGGCCCCGCGCGGCCCGGGGGCGGAGGAGAGCGCGGCCCCGCGCGGCCCAGCGGGAGCGCGTCCCCGTGATACCGGGAGGAGGAGAGCGCGGCCCCGCGGGAGCCGGGAGCGCGTCCCCGTGATACCGGGAGGAGGAGGGCGCGGCCCGGGGCGGAGGAGGGCGCGGCCCCGCGCGGCCCGGGGGGCGGAGGAGAGCGCGGCCCCGCGGGAGCCGGGAGCGCGTCCTCGTGGTACCTGGAGGAGGAGAGCGCGGCCCCGCGCGGCCCGGGGGCGGAGGAGAGCGCGGCCCCGCGCGGCCCGGGGGCGGAGGAGAGCGCGGCCCCGCGCGGCCCGGGGGCGGAGGAGAGCCCGGCTCCGCGCGGCCGGGGGGCGGAGGAGAGCCCGGCTCCGCGCGGCCCAGCGGGAGCGCGTCCCCGTGATACCGGGAGGAGGAGAGCGCGGCCCCGCAGGAGCCGGGAGCGCGTCCCCGTGATACCGGGAGGAGGAGGGCGCGGCCCGGGGCGGAGGAGGGCGCGGCCCCGCGCGGCCCGGGGGGCGGAGGAGAGCGCGGCCCCGCGGGAGCCGGGAGCGCGTCCTCGTGGTACCTGGAGGAGGAGAGCGCGGCCGTGAAGGGCCTGGGGGTGAAGAGCGCGTTCTCACGACTCCCGGAGTGGCGGGCGCGCGTCCCCGCGCAGCCTCCGAGTGGCTTCCCTACAGGCTACAGACTCCCCTGTTCCCCCCGCCACGCATTCGTGTGTGGAAATGTTCTAGTAAAAAGAATAAATGCACAGACACCCGAAGGCCAGAAGCAGCCCTTCCCCGCGGCGCCGCTCCTGCCGTGTAGACAGGCGGCTGGGTGCCATGCTTTATGGATGGGGTCGGGCTTTGCACAGGTTTTTGAAGTCTGGCTTTTAGTTACAAGGATCAATAGACTCTTCTGTGTCAGATGTCGGGTTGAGCAGAGTAGCCTGTGTGGTGGCCTCATGGCTCTGCTGTTAATCTTGTTCTGCCAGAGGAAGGAGCCTTCCTTTTTAAGGGCTTGTCTTAAAAGGATGTCTTAACTATGCATCCTTTATGATATTTGGTTTGCAACACTTCTAGGACGTTTTCCCCTGCCTCCTTACAAGCACACATTACTCTGTGTCCTAGAAATCAACTAAGGAAATACACAAGCACTTCTTCAATGACTATTTCAATTAGCTCTGCTCGGATTTTTTTTTTTTATATACTTAGTCCAAATGGATGAGATTTCAATCTGGTAGAGTTTGTACAGGTGGAGAAAAATAAAGGCCATAGAGACAAGTTTTACAGTTCATTTATGGTCAATGAACATTTCTGCACATTTGCCACCAGAGGGTTGGTAGAATATTAAGGGGGAGGTTTGGGGCCTTGCTGGGCATGTGTGGAGGACATGAAAGGGAGAGGGGATGCAGAAGAGGGGAGTATGCACTCAGTGCCTCAGCATGCTTAATTGAGAAGGTCAGGACTCGAGGAAAAGCTATAGACATTCCAGTAAACCCAGGGGAAAAGGAATTAGGAAAATTTAAGTGAAATAAGATGAAGGATGAGCTGGGCATCAGTGGCTCACGCCTGTAATCCTAGCTACTCAGGAGGCTGAGATCTGAGGATCACGGTACAAAGCCAGCCCGGGCGAGAAAGCCTGTGAAACTCTTATCTCCAATAAACCACCAGAAAACCGGAAGTAGTGCTGTGGTTCAAGTGGTAGAACACTAGCCTTGAGCTGAAGAGCTGAGGGACCACGCTCAGGCCCAGAGTTCAAGCCCCATGACCGACAAAAAAAGGAAGAAAGAAAGAAAGAAAATTAATGACCTCCTGAAGTGGACCCTGAGATGAGGCCCAAGCTGGTATGATTCCATTTTGAGTTTGCCTTTATTTTAGGGATTTTAGACTTGATGGTCCTAGTTCCAGAATGAAAAAAAAAATGCATCGGGTCCTCCTCCCCTGAACAACCTAGCCCACCCTTGATTGAGTTAAAGACTGACCCATAAAACAGGTTGTAATCTGGTTTCAAATGATGATACCACTTGCTTATGATAAACCCTGTCTTTTGCACATGCTTATGGTAAACTCTGCCTTTTGCCCACCAAAACATAGAGCCGGCCTTACCCACTAAATTTGCATGCCATTTTAAACCAAGGTGATAGGCTGGTTTAAACAGCCATTACAGACAAACTGTAACTTCATTGGCCACCTGTGTGTGGTCTGGTATGACTGTACAATCCTTTGTGTGTGTTACGATCCCGTTGGTCACCTGTGTGAGACCAGGCTCGACCTCATGGATTTTGCCTTTAAAAACTGAAGAATGGGGGCTGCTCTGGGTCGCAATATCAGCTCCCAAACCTGTGCTGCGGCCCTGGCCAGTTAGTGTAGGAACCTTCTCAATAAAGTTGCCACTTTGTTAACATCTTTGTTGTGGTGGGCTCTGGCACTCCGGATGACTAGGTGGGCATGCCTGCCTGTGTAGGGGTCTTCCTGATACACTCCTTACCCCACCTCTTACCCTCTCACCAGCTAGTGACCAAATCCCTCTGGCCAAATACACACCCCCTTCTCCCCCCCCCCCCCCCCCCCATTCAAAGGCAAAGAGCTAGGAAGTCTGTTGAGGTAGGGCCCTGCTGCCAATCTTGCAGGTAAGAACAGGTAAGGGAAGGCTGGAATACCAGAAGGAACAAATGAAAGTTGTCCAGAGTTGATGAAATCCTCCTGTGTTTGCTTCTAGGACAGCAAGGTGCCCAAAGAGCCTAATTCCACATTTTCTGGTTTCCAGAGAGCGCCACCTACTGGTCCTGACTGTGTCAGCGCTTCCCAGCTGTCATGAACAGACAACCCCAGGGCTGGTAACAGGTTTTGTCTGCCTACTGCAAAACTGTTATACCGAGGCAATGATGCCCTGAAAATCCCCAAGAGTCTCCAGTGAGACACAGCTTCCTGCATGTGTTACCACATCCCCCCCCCCTCCCCCCAGACTTAGGTCAGACTCAACTTCCAGTAATAGCAACTGTAGCAAGGTTCTACATGCTGCTACCCATTCTACAGGGGTAACACCTCTGAATGCATACAGACACTTCCCTGGGAAACGGATCAGCTAAGAAAACGGCTAGGCAACGACAAATGCTGGAGGGGATGTGGAGAAAGAGGAACCCTACTACACCTATTACACTGCTGGTGGGAATGTACACTTATACAACCACTTTGCAAAGCAGTCTGGAGGGTCCTTAGAAAGCTAAAGATTGACCTCCCCTATGACTCAGCCATACCACTTCTAGGCATCTACCCTGAACAACAGGAACCAATATACAAGGACACATGCACCTCCATGTTTGTTGCAGCACTGTTCACAATAGCTAGGATATGGAAACAACCCAGATGCCCCACCACAGATGAATGGATCCAAAAATTGTGGTATCTATACACAATGGAATATTATGCAGCCATTAGAAATGACAAAATAATGGCATTTACAGGGAAATGGATGGAGCTAGAGGAATCATGTTGAGCGAGGTAAGCCAAGAGCAAAGAGACAAACGGTACATGGTTTCCTTGATAAGTGGATGCTAAATCCAAAATGTTAGGTGATACGACAAAACTAACAGGACTCAAGAAACAAAGAACTCCCACTCATCTGGTCAAACCACTACTAAATATCCCCATGCTGCTGATCACATGTATGGTGTCTATGTGTACACCGTTATATGTTATAGACTGTGATAGACAATTTGCTCCAGGAAAGTTAGAATGAACTTGTGACTTTAAATGAGCATCATTATTCCACAATACTGTCAAATTTGGGAAATTATGTAATCACTTAATCACAATTAAAAAAAAAAAAGAACCTCGGGGAAGGTAGGGAGGGAAGGGAGGGTAGGGGGAAAACAATGCTCAATATGAAGTGTACTCATTACCTTACTCATGTAACTGTAACCTTCTGTATAGTATCTTTACAATAAAAAAAAAGTCTAGGCAGATATTCCCATGAAAGGAGCTTCACAGACCTATTCCCATTAAGAGGAAAGCTTATTGATCCCAATTGTAATCAACCAATGTAACAGAAACAGAAAGTCCAATTAAAAAATAAAAGCAAGCTGTGTACCTCAGATACCCAAGAGGAGGAGACAAGAGAATCATCACTTCCAGTCTAGCCTAGGCAAAATTATCAAACCCTATCTCAGAAAGAAAAATCCAAAACAACAAACAAAAAGGCCTGTAGTTGCAAGAGGTAGAATACCTAGTACAAAAAAAGAAGATGAATTTCTAGCTGAGTGGTTTATTGGGCAGTGAGACCTGGCTGGAGGAAGTGGGAGCAGATTTTTTTTTTTTGGGTCCGGTCATGGGGCTTGAACTCTGGGCCTGGGCGCTGTCCCTCAGCTCTTCAGCTCAAGGCTAGTGCTCTACCACTTGAGCCATAGCACCACTTCCGGCTTTTTGCTTATGTGGTGCTGAGGAATCGAACCCAGGGCCTCAGGCATGCAAGGCAAGCGCTCTACCTCTGAGCCACCTTCCCAGCCCCATGGGAGCAGATTTTTGAAGGCTATGTCTGGTTCCGGTTCCCTTCCTGGCTGTTCCCTGGCTTCCATGAGCTGAGCAACTTTCCTCTGCCATTCCCTCACACCATGCCTTTCCATGATGGTACAAGTCTAAAAGCAACAGAACCAGTCAACCATGGACCTCTGAAATAATGAGTCAAAATAATTTTTTTCTCCTTTAAGTTGTTTTTCATAGGTATGTTGTCAGTGATGACTAACACAGCTACATGGGTAATTCATCTTATTCTTTTTGCTCAACACTATACATGTATATTGTATAGTTCCATATGTATGATGAATCATGCACACGTACATTTTGGATCTTTTCAATGTATTTTACAAGCTTCAGTAGTA